AGAGAGTGACAATGTGTCTTCTTTTTAATTATGTATTTTATATATGATATGTTGTATATACTGTATCACATTGATGAGACTATAATAAAGAATAAAATAATTTAAACACACACCACCACTGTTCTAGTGAGAATGCTTTTATTTTTGAAATTGACGAAACCAGCTTTTTTGGCTGTTATATGATAACTTCTTCCATGTGCTTAACTAACAAATAATTAAATGATTAAATAATTCATCTTTCATACAAATAAAACAAAGAATCAATAAGCATAAAAAACAACAACATTATAACTTACAGGGCTCTCGATTGACACGGGGATCCTGGTTTTGACTCGGGAAATGCACAAATTTGACATGTGATAAAATCTGCTCAAGAGTCAATTTGCCACATGTGCAATAAATAATTACCTTAAATCCACCCCTAATTAGTATTACCTATCAAAGCCTACATATGTTCAAATCACACTCATTAAAAATGTCAACAGGCAGTATTAGCCGTGTATAAAATGCTTTACACATCACTGTTGTACAGCGTCCACCGGATATAGCCCCTTAAAACACCGAAAACGAAAGTAGAAAGCTGCACAACGAGTACACCCAATGTAATGTTTTAACTTATTTCTTCATCATTACTTCATCAATTTGTCCAAACCAAACAATTTTGTGAAGATAAATGATTCTGGTTTTAGAGCAATATTTGCTTTTGCCTGTACATTGAATCCTTTTTGTTAACTTGGCGAAAAAATGTAGGGTATCTGTTGACATGTGCGAACGATGTTGATATTTACCACTAAATCAAACCCAAAACGCATTTGCTGTATTAAAATTCGCCGTTTTACACAAATAATAGTCATCCCTCTTCTTTTATTTGAGTTTACACCCTTCAACTCGAGCTGCTTTTAAAAAAAAATCGCAAAAAACTGCCTTGCCTTGTGTACAGAGTCTAGCAAAGAAAACAAATTTAAGTGAACGGGGTGTAGTAGTTTAATGTACAGGATTTAATAGATGTGAACTGTGTCTAGCAGTCACATATTTTTAAAGTGTAGTGTTTTATTATTTTTAATTGGAAATAATCTCATATCAGAATAAACGGGACGATACAGAGGTATTTGGTAAATAATTTAAGTTTTTAGTGTCTTGAGCCTAACGGTATATAGCTGCGTTTAATTTTTATTGTCATACCATCACAACCATCAGCTGAATAGTGTCTATCGGTATTTATAAGACATGTTGAGGAGTCTTCTAATCAACTCGCTGAATGGAGATGGGCCGAATGGGGATATATTTATATATACAGTAGAATCCCTCCTTAAGACCACCCCGGAATCAAGACCACCCGCCTATTAAGACCTTTTTTCATAAGAACGGAATTTTCTGTTCTTTATGTCAATGGTTACATGATCCAGAATTAAGACCATCTCGCATATCACTTTAAGACCACTAGATTCAGTCCCAATTTTTAGCTCACCTGTCACGAAGTGACAGGGTGAGCTTTTGTGATCACTTTTCGTCCGGCGTCCGTCCGGCGTCCGTCCGGCGTCCGTAAACTTTTACTTTAAATGACATCTCCTCATAAACCACTAGGCCAATTTCATCCAAACTTCACAGGAATGTTCCTTTGGTGGTCAGCTTTAAAAATTGAATTCCATGCAGAACTCTGGTTGCCATGGCAACCGAAAGAAAAAACTTTAAATATCTTCTTTTAAAAAACCCTAAGAGCTAGAGCTCAGATGTTTGGCATGAAACATCTTCTAGTGAGTGTCTACCAAGTTTGTTCAAATAAAAGCCCTGGGGTCAAAATTGGCCCCGCCCCAGGGGGTCATTGATTTTCCCTATATGCATATAGTAAAAACTTAAAAAATCTTCTTTTAAAGAACTCAAAGAGCTAGGGCTAAGATATTTAGCATCAAACATGTTGTAATAGGTGTCTACCAAGTTTGTTCAAATAAAAGCCCTGGGGTCAAAACTGGCCCCGCCCCAGGGGTGTCATTGTTTTTAACTATTGATTTTGCTATGAATTTATTTCTTATTTGATGGGTGTATTATGTACATCATAATTATAATAATTAATATTAAAATCATATCAAATAGAATTCAATATAAATGTCTTCGGAAATATATTTTCTTTCCATCAGATGTAACATACATAAAAATTTGCAGGTTAAGAGACATATTGTTTATTCGCACAAAATGACTAAAATAGACCATGGTTATAAAGTGTGTAAGCAATAAGAATACTCACAATTAAGACCACCCAGCAATTAAGACCACTTTGGTCCAGTCCCAGTGGTGGTCTTAATTGAGGGTTTTTACTGTATACGAGTACATGTATGACTAACCTACACATAAGGTAGGAGGTCGAAAATTGATTAAAAGATTATGCAGGAGTGTCAAACGGCATTAGCACTGTCTTCTATAAAACAGTTTTAGCCGCCTTATTTAAGCTAGAAGTCGAATTGGTATGGCAATGTTGAAATGAAAACATAAAACACCAACATTATCATCATCGTCATCATCATCATTGAAGAGTCATCATAATCATTTTTAGAGAAAACAGCAGATATATGCTTATAAGCGGCAGCATTGTATTTATTAAACAATATCGAAATCACAACTGAGGTCACCCGAGTTTGACTGCAAAAAGTATGAAGGACTTTATAGCCAGTAATATAGTATTTCCACAAAGATAAATCTAATGATTAACATAACTAATCAAAGCAGATATTTTACCAAAGCTCATTAACAAATGTTTGTTTTTCAATGAAGTCTTAAGACAGGTGACATAATAAACAAATAAAACATGTTTACATCAAGTTTAGTTCACAATGCATAACACGAACATGGTTTGAAATTGTTTAAGACAAATTATATAATTTTCTGTTCATAGTGTTCTACTAAATATGGAATGAAATTGTGGTCTTTTAAGTTTTACATTTTTCCTATTAACTTATAGTCACGCATAAAAAGTGGTATAGCAGGGCGGAAACTGTTTACTGCAATTAATATACATGTTGCGTAACATGTTGACAATTTAATTAAACATTTTTATCCTTTATAAAATTAAAATCATTCACTGATCCCGACATAAATCGTTTTCTTCATCAGCGCACATGTATATGATCTGGTACTTAATTTATTTTTCAGAAAATGACATTCGTTTACCTACTACACCCCGTACAATCGCTATCAGTTTTCCATCTACACCCCGTACACATTCGTGCTAGACTCTGTACACAAGGCAAGGCAGTTTTTCGCAAATTTTGTTAAGATCAGCTCGAGTTGAAGGGTGAAAAATCAAATATAAGTAGAGGGGTGACTATAGTTTGTATTAACGGCGGAATTTGATACAGCAAATGTGTTTTGAGCTTGATTTAGTGGTAAATATGTAAATATCAACATCGTTCGCAAATGTCAACAAATACGCCACAATTTATTACCAATTTAACAAAAAGTACTTAATTTGTAGGCAAAAGCAAACACTGCTATAAAACTAGACATATTTAGCTTCATAATATTGTTTATTTTGGAAAAATCGATGAAGTTATGATGAAGAAATAAGTTAAAACATTACCTTGGGTGTACTCGTTGTGCAGCTTTCTACTTTCATTTTCGTTGTTTTTAGGGGCTATATCCGGTGGACGCTGTACAACAGTGAGTGTACTACGTTTTCTTCTAAATCCATTTTGTTCGTCATGTAATTTATCGTTATCTTCAGCCCATGAACTAAGACGACTGTTAAGAATAGAACAGTAAAGTTTGTACATGGCTGATGATAAGGCAATACCTCTATATGAAAGCGGGTCAGCTGTGGACGATTTTGGGATAGGATTTATAATAGTTTTACCCCATGAGGTAGGAATAACCCCTGTATTAAAACACGCATTAAACAAAACATGAAGAAAATACACTGATCAATGTGTCATTTTTTAAAACTTCTACAAGAATATTATCGCGGATCCACACAAATATGTAAAAAAATAAATATTAAAATAAATATTATAATTATTGTATAATAAAACAATTATGCTCAACATGGTAATAAAACCAGTGTCATATTGTTACTAAGTGTGAACAGATACCTTAAGAGGGGTCTTCGCTAACATAATAAGTAATAAAGGGACAACACACAAGTGTGGTGTTGATCATGCCTTACCCAAATGGATTAAAAATGAGTGTATATATCCGTTGCTATTAATAATCACGATATTACATTTATGACCATAAAAAACAACAATTATAATATAATATATTATTTCAAAAATGTAAAAGAACTATTGATTTTGACTACTATTTTGTATTTTCCAAAGAAAATACCACATGAACTTGAAATTCTATCAAATCACCAATATTAATGATAATATCCAAAATACCCCCTATATAGTATAAATAAACTTATACCACATGAAAAGTATAATTTGAATATCATTGACCTTTATATTTTGGATATTATCGTTAATATTGATAAAATTTCAAGTTCCTGTGTAATATTATAATCAGTCTAGCATGCCTACCAAAGTTCATAATGAACAATGTGATATACAATTCTGGTAAAAACCAATTAACCATTGAAAAGTTTATAAGAATATCTTGTCATCATAATTATGTCTACAAGTTCATCTTCACTTGCTGCATTTCTTGCTTGGACGCCTTTTGATGCTTTGCATTAATGCTTTTCTTGCATATGTCTTTATTAAAATACATTTAATTTATACTGTTCATATTTGCATGTAAAATTAAGTTTGTCTTTTGTACATGATCTGATCTCTGAATATATGATATCAGTTGGATTGATACGATATGATATGATATGATATAGTAGGAAAAGCTTACAAAATCATGCATTTATCCATGAGCATATTTTGTAAGGGGTCTGTCTATACGTATTCTGAGTAACGTATATACGAGCATAGAGAATCACGTCTTTTATAAATATACATGTAGCATATTCAAGGTAGTGCAGGTTGTAAGTAAAATCGAAACAAGAAATCGAGAGATCACATATATTTATAAACTAAACAAGTGACAATGTATGGAAAGTGAGAAATTTTCTATGGAAGACATCTTCAAACCAAACTATTATTTAGAAACTAAAAGCAATTGAACTTAAGTCGGGAAAAGTAACATTTTCTGAAAATGAAAATCTTCGTATCAAGGTAAAGGTCACCATCAAAACCGAAAATAGAAAAACCAACAAAAAATATCAAACGACTACGTGTCTGTCAACAGAAAATGAGCTCCTCTATAGAAGGTAGGTTTAATTATTATATATTTTAGAAATTCTTAAACATATATGAACATTACAATTAATGTAGAACAGTTATGATGTAGGCATTTTGTGCAAATAAGTATAATAATATTCTATGTACTGTAACAATTTTCGGATATGATTTTTTAGATTGTGTTTTGAAATTATTTTGTGGATGTTTTATACTATTTTTTAGGAGGCAAATATGGTATCTTTTATTTGCATTATAAAGTTTTTATTTATATATTTATCGATCTGAATTTTCAAGAAGTTTTCCTAAACAGTGGACATACGGCTTTTATCTGCACAACTGACCCAATTTTAAACTACAAACAGTAAATAGGCCTATAGATCATTACTACACTATTATTGTAAATTGACACAAGTTTTTGAATTTGAAGATTATTTAATTTTCATAAGCAATTAGGCTACTCTCCAGGGACGGCAAAATCAGGTTGTCCAGTAATTTACTATAATAATAGGCCTACTTAGTTACTAACTGTACAAGTTAAGAAACATGAAGAAATGCTTTAAGATAAAAACGGACACGTAGGCCTATTTCAAAATCAGATTTTGCCAGCCCTCGTTTTAGACTTGATTCACATAATTTGGAAATTGAACAAGGGTTTATAATGGGATTGACGGAGAGAATAAGTTCTGTAAATTATGTTATCAAAGTGTTATTCAATTTGAATACAAATTTTGCTATGGTGAATATGATAAATTTTGAAAACACATTTTTTATAAATGAGTCGATGTAATATAGAAACAATTATTTGGAATTTCTTTCAGCTTCCTAAAGGATAATTAAATGTTTATCTTTAAATTTAAAATTGATGTTTATTAATTTGTTTATTTATGTATATTTGCCTGAATGTCGTAAGCATAGTTATATTGATTAAAATGTCTTTACAATATATTGTATGTGTGTAAATGGCGAATCCAAAGACAATGTTCATTGTCGATTTGCTAGTAAACTTTAATAGAAAAGAATTGTAATAAAAGTGTGGTGTTTATTTTTATAAAAGATGTAGGTCTAATGAAAATGTCCATTTCGTCATTCGTCAGTTTTTTAGGTAACTTAAAATTACTGACGAGTTTGTGAGATTGTCAAAACAATTTTGTGTTTGATATTCGATAATTAATTTGATTAGTTACATTTTTTGCCCGCTAACATTTTTGCCCGCTCTCATCAATATCATTGACGTTTAAACTGCTTACTTATTTACTTGGCTTTTTTTAAACTGGTAAAATATTTATATTGTTATAAACTGAGCATTCGTAAAGACATTTTTGTACAAGCAAACATACTGGTTGAAGAGATAACCTCGACACTAAATCACATACTGTATGTGCGCGGCACATCTATTATCTTTGTGTATATTTACAATTTTGACGCAGTCCCCCAAAGAAAATATTTTGGCACTGCACTACACTGAATAGAGATGGAAACGATTACCTTTCAAGGCACTGAATAAGATATCCGCTACATGGTCTTTTTAAACCACGAAAGTGTCAGTACATAAAGTCAACACTTTAGTTTATTAATTCGAAATTAGCTCAGTCGTTTATTTTTATTTTTACATTTAATATGTTTCATCTCCTTTTTTGTTTTTGTTGATATATAATTAGTATTTTGTTGATTTCAAAAGATTGACCTGTGTTCAAGATAAAACTTAAGATTCACCTGTGTTCAACATAGTTCTAAGTACATGTATCTTCTGAAGTTCTCTGGTAGTTTGGTAAAGAGTGTATATAGAGAACATTTTTGGGGGTTTTGTAAACAAAATATGAAGTAAGCATAAGCACAAAACCACCAGTCTGTACATACTGGTTTAATATTAGATGGTTACCATGTGCATGTCTATTGGAACAATAGGGTTGAACAAGTGTTGGTGCTATCTATAAATGTGTCAGTTATCTTTGTGTGGGAGTTATCTTTGTGTCGGAGTGATCTCTCAGTATAAAATTTAGTAATGAGTATCAAAGAATTGACAGCTTAGTATGCAGGCATATCCTGCAAGAATTAAAATATACATGCACCTTTTTCTTACAAACATGTATATTATACTGTATCTACATTATTCCTTACTATAATATGATGCTGTCAAAGTGTAGATTGATGTTGTGTAATGATAAGACATGATTAATTATAAATGACTGGTAAACGAATGCTATAGCTACATCATTACACAGTTTTTCCTATGTAAAAAGGTTGTCCTTATGCTTAAAATGTATATTTGTGCTCGATGGCTTTTCCTTTTCAAATTGGTTGCATTCGGTTTCCGTTGTCGTTAGTTTATATGAATTTTTTTTTTAAGTTCAGTTTTGAAGCTTTTAGACACACTTGAATCTGTTACTGGAACTAACCAGTACTATGTAGTGAGTGTAAAGTTTCTGGCTCAAGGAAACAACGGCTTGCCCCTGAAGGGGTTTGAACCCGCATGGCTGGCGATCCTCAGATTACTTCATGTACTAGTCTGATATAACTCTTTAATTCAATGCAGAAGAAAACAAAACAAATTTATGTCTCTAATTATTAGTTTCCTGCTCAGAAATGTTTGCTCAAATGAAATGCACCAGGTCTTTTCATTTTGAATATAGCTTCTTTCATTGTTACAAAATCCCAACTGAGCTAAATATTTTTTAATTGGTAGTCCCAAAATGATAAAAAAAATAAGGCCGGACATAAAATTTAGATAAGATCCGGCATATCTTGTTATTTCAAGCCAAATAAATATTTGCAAAATGACGTGACAAAATGTAATATAATGATCTTACCAATGTTTTTTTTCTAGATGTTGAATTTGAAGTTATTAAAGAAGATGTTGAAAAGGAAGAAAATGGTGATGAACAAATTCGCCAGGAAAACATCGAACTCATGATTGAAATTGCCCATCTTTGTAACAGAAGAGATCGGTCTAAGGTGGAGAACATATTCTTGCTTGGAAAAAGTGGTGCTGGAAAAAGTGCGCTTGTCAACACGGTGATCAAGGTCATATCCGGGAAGTATACGCCAAAGGCGAAGGTTGGGGCCGGTGGGACACAATCAAAAACGTTAAATCTAGAGAGGTATTTGAACTACTGATATAATTTCTGTAAATATCAGACGGTTCATTAAATTGATTCATGTTAAATATAGTTTTCTCGGATGACGACATGGCAATCAGTTTTCTTTGATTTTGTCCTTTGATATATATCAGCCTAATAGTGTCTGGAAAAGCTACAACCAACCCTGCAAATGTCTTCTCATTAGTTGTATGCAAAAATGAATCCTGAATGAAATAAATGTAAAAGTAATGACGGTTATCATTAAAAATCAATTATAAAATAGAGAAAAACAGAATCCCTAAAGACAGTCCAACACAACAAAATTGAAAATGTTGCAGGCTCGGTTTGATTGAGCCTGTTCATGGACGGTACTGAAAAGTGCAAGTTACCGTCCACGCCCCCTAGCACCGGCTTAAGCAGAATTCAACATTTAACACGAAAATGGTAAAATTTTGAATTTAGAAACATCCGCAGATGTGTTCATACGGCGGTTATCATGGAACCTTCAATGTGACACAGTAGTGCCATTCCATGAAAAGCGGCGTATGGTCCCCAAGTAAAAGAAAGCTTTTGCCCTAAACGAGAAAACAATGGGCGGAACTAAATAAAATGGAATTTTGACAGGGGATCTGAGGTTATGAAGCCTGCATATCACAGATAAGACGTCAAAAGACAAATTTAAAAAGCAGGCAACATATCCTAAGGGTGATTATACAGTATTCAAGTAGGAATACTGGAACCACCTAAATTGAAAATTGCCGAATAGAAGAAACTTAAAGTACCGCATAACATGTATACACAACAAAAATGTCGTATGACATCGAATTCTTTAATGTGAGGGGAACTACGTTGGTGGTTCTACTCAGGTACCAGCCACTATATAAATTAATTTAGGAATGGGCTCCAATAGTCACCATATGTTAGACCTATAAAATGTTTGTATTTCAAACCCCATCAAGAAATTAACAAAAACAAAACTTTAACATAGATCTATTATCTCTGCGTGTATTAAATCTAAATACCTGTACCGTATACCATATAAATACGAGGGGTGTTCAAAAAGTTCGTGGACAAACCGTATATTTTTGAACACACCTCGTATATTTAATATAAATTTTATAGTTTCCATGATTTTAAGTTATTGTTTTTTATAACGTTTCTGGTTTTAAGGTATAAAAGTTGTGGTGTTACACGTGAGGATATCACCGATGGTACACAGCGTGATCTCGTGCAAGGAATATTACCACGACTGCCCACCATACTTGACGCTGCTGGGAAGGGTGACGTTAACTCGGAGTCTCTGCAAGAAATAATAGAGCTCCTCATCGGAGGTAATTATGTTCTTGACCATGAACTGTTATAAACATGATGTTTATTAATCAAAGGTTTGTCCTTAACGTTGTAAGATGTTGTTTAGTTTTTATATCCTTATTGAAGGAATGATGTCTGTCCTATAGTATGTATTTACCAGTACTATCATTATAATCCCAGCCATGTTGATTTCTTGTGTCAGTGTCTATAAGTGATAGTATTGTTAGTTAACGTTCTCTTATTGCTTAAAATACTGTGTAACTTGATGATAAATGTTTATAAAGTATTGACATTGGCCACTTGACTATACATTTTATGCTTATTTGTTATACATACTGTGCATACATGGGCATATTGCCCGAATGTATTCCGAAATAAAATCTTTATTATGAAGTGGTTTGCTAGAATTCAGATTAAGATTAAGTTTTATCAATCTAATCTGTCTCATTTTCTTGGTGGTTGATATACTGCATAAGCAATTTGATATAACGATGACTTCTTGAAATTATTAAATATCTTACTTTACTTAACATTTCATTAGATATGAATATTTCATATACTGCTTTTTAGAATTTAAATTTATAGAATAAGGTCATTTAGAAATTGTGCCTCTGATTCTTGAACTGTAGTACTTTGTCCATCGTTTGTATAAAGTGAGGCAAGTTGTGTTTATATAACACGAAAAATGTTTATCTTATGCAAAGTGCCAACCGTATACTAGCATATGCCATTATGTATTATACATTATATTATAAATAAATATGAGCCATGCCATGACAAAACAAACATAATGGATTTGCGACCAGCATGGATCCAGCCTCGCAGTCTGATCAGGATCCATGCTGTTCGCTATCAGTTTCTCTACTGGTAATAGAGTTGGTAAGCGAACAGCATGGATCCTGATCAGACTGCGAGGCTGGATCCATGCTGGCCGCAAACCCATTATGTTGGTTTTGTCATGACGCGGCTCATATTCTAATTTATTTGCAGGGTATGTACCACCTGGCACAAGCATCGAGGCTCTAGAGAAACTACAGAAAGATTACGGTGTCGGTTCGTTGAAGGACGTTGTATATACAGAATGTAATCCAAGCTGGAAGGTGACTAAGGTTGTGTTTGTCCAAAGTTGTCGTGACGTAGTGCCAGAAAACCTGGTCGAGTGTCTTCATACTGTACTGAAAAAGACCGACCCTGAAACAGCGAAACCTTTATGTAAGGATTCTAATCTCATATTCTATACTTGAAATTAAAATACTACATTTCTCCAATAAGCAATTGTAAGTAATTGTAAAAGTTAATCTTATCTGTTCATTATTCTGTATAAGCAATAATTTTGTATAATAGGAAGATAATTTTGAGACATACTATGCTCATCCTTGAGTATTGAAATGTATGGAATTCCTACTGAATATGTCTAATTTGAATAAAAGAATGAATAGGCTATGTATGGGAAGATGCGTTTCCTAAATTGGTCAAGTAAATGAATAAACAGTGGGTTAACATTTTATTTTTTGAGCTTTTTATTTGTTGATCATATTAATGTATATTTACAGACACTGGAGACGTTTATGTGGTCATTACAAAGTACGACTTGGTGAAAAGTCAGAGCATGTACGACTGCGGGTCTGATGATAAGACGGTTTCCATGAGTGATTTTAAAGCTGTGGAAACTAAAATTGCTGAGGTGTTCAACATTCAAGGAGCGTTGGAGGATAACCGGATACGTTGGGTTAGTTACACAGATAGAGTGAGCAAAGATAACCCCCACATTGACAATATTGCCCTCAAATTTATCAGGAGCATGGTGAGGCCGGTAAATCAACAGGAAACAGAGCACGTGAAACCTGTGATAACAAATGCAACGAAAATGAAGCTTGAAGCTAGAAAGATGTGGCTGAGTTCTAATTTCAATCCTTCTCAGTTTGTTCTCATCGTTATCAGTATTATAGTGGCGTTCTTTTTGTTTAAACTTTTTACAGCACCTCTCAAATGAAAAAAAAGTATAACGTTTACAGTGCTGCACAAGAGATTACAACACTGTGACGTGGCTATCTAGTATCTTGTGTAAACATTCACGTACATGCATATATAAAGGAACTAATAAAAAATCTTGTATGTTGTAATTAATGTTGTTACCACACAGTGAAATTTTATATATGTATATAGAATCTAATTACGCTTCTTAAACAATTTTCAAACAGCAAAGAATATGTGAAAAATGTACTGCAAATTTTTGTCCACATATGGAATCATTAAAATATATCATTTAGTTCTTATCTAAAAATTTGGCTCAGACTTTACAGAAAATAAATTTCAAATTACCTCCCTTTATTAGCATGAAAATGTAAATTTTGTAATATCTTTACAAATAATGCTTTTTGGAACTTACAATATTGATAAATATTCATTTTAGCATGTTACCTTTTATACTGGCATTGCTTTTAATATTTACATGTTAATATATATATGACTTTATGATACAAAATTAAGTAAAGTGACCCAATCTGATCAGTGATCAATGAAATTAATATTGACCTTGTTAAAAAAGTACATCAGATTTACAAGTAGATTTCATATAAATTATATTTGAGGTCACATTTTTCTAGAGTTGAGAAATTTAATGAATTTCGTTATTTGATGATTTAGTTATTTACTGTTTTTTGTATGTTTTTTTCCTTCAAACATTGTGATTCCCAAAATTATGAATCTATTTACTAGTAATTGTAGTTGTGATAATTCATGTGTTATTGTTTCTTCTTTTAACTTCCTTTTAATGATTAAAAATGTTTTGCTTTATCCTTGTGAAAATAAAAATAAAGATAACTCGATCATCTTGGTGTTTCCTGACCCCACTTTAAAATAAACCTAACGAAACCGATTTTTGAAGTGAAGTAGTTTGGAGCAAAAAAATATAAAAATTTCTATGGGGTTTTAAATATGTAAATGGATTCAAATAGAGTAATTGGGCCCGCTTGCTATAGGTTTCCAAAGTAGTTAATTTTGCAGTATTTTACAGCTTTCCAAAGTCAGTAAGTAGGCACGGGCCTGTCTGCATGTTCAAAGAAGTCATTGAACCAGGCCTTGTGATATGAGTTTTTAATGAGTAAGTGGGACATACCTTGCGTTAGCGATGTCAAAAGTCAGAAAGTGGTCAAATGCCTTGCTATATGGATTTCCAAATTGAGAAAAAATGTGTCAGAAGCAATGCTATCTGTATTTCCAAATTTAGTTAGCAAGCACATGTATTGCCATACCGGTTTTGGGCTGGGGCTTGCTGTATGGATTTCCAAAGTAAGTCAGTAGGACAGTCCTTGCTATGCTGATTTCAAAAGTGAGAATGTGGAATCAGACCTTGCCATATGGATTTCCAAATTGAGTAAATTAAGTGGATTTCCAAATTGAGTAAATGGTCACAAGCAATACTATATAGATTTCCAAACTGAGTGGCCCAAAGGGCCTTGTTAATAAAATTTAAAAACAAAGTGGGGAACAGGGGCCCAAAAGGGCCCTTGTCATAGGGATTTCCACACAAAATTTGGTCAGACCTTCCCTATGGTACCCAAAAGAAAAAAAACCCCTTTCCCCTTACCAAAAGGATTTTTTTTAAAATTGTTTTTTACAAGTAAACAGGTTTTTTTGATTTTACTTTTTTCCAAATTTAAAAAGTGGGGCCCCGGGCCCTTTTGTCGTGATTTTTTTCCAAATCAAAGTTCTTTGGGGGCCAAAGGCCCTTGCAAAATTTTTTTTCTTTTTTTTATTTAAATTTGAGACAGGCGTTGTTTTAGGGTTTTTCCTAAAATGGGGAAAGGGGGAAAGGCCCTTGTTTATAAAAAAATTTAAAAAAGTCATCCCCTGTAATTTGGGGACACGGGGCCTTTGTTTGTACGGCTTTTTCCGAAGCATGCCTGCAAGTTGACACGGGCCTTGCTTGTAGGGAAATTGTTTTTCCAAAAGCCCATGTCTGAAATTTGTCAATTAGGCCTTTTGCTTACGAAATGTCCAAACCTGAGAAGTGGGGAAAAGGCCTTGCTATACGGGGTTCCAAGCCTAAGTTAGTGAGCCAAAGGCATTGCCTTTGCGGATTTCAAAAGTCAGTGAGCACGTGCCCTTTCCTTTTTGGATTTCAAAATCAGTAAGTAGGTGACATGCCTTGCTTTTAGGATTTTTCAAAATCAGTGGTACACATACCTTGTTATAGCGGAAATTTCAACGTCAAGTAGTTGGGCACAGGGACCTTGTTTAGGGATGTTTCCAAAGTCAGTAGTGGGCACGACCTTGTTTTAGGGATTTCAAAATCATGTAGTATTTGGGCCACAGACCTTGGGTTTTAGGGATTTTCCAAAGTCAGGTAGTGAGGCACAGACCTTGTTTTAGGGATTTTTTCAAAGTCTGTTAGTGGGCACAGACCTTGTTTTAGGGATTTCCAAAGTCTGTTAGTGGACACAGACCTTGTTTTAGGGATTTCCAAAGTCAGGTAATGGGCACAGATCTTGTTTTAGGGATTTCCAAAGTCAAGTAGTGGGCACAGATCTTGTTTTAGGGATTTCCAAAGTCAGGTAGTGGGCACAGATCTTGTTTTAGAGATTTCCAAAGTCAGTTAGTGGGCACAGACCTTATTTTAGGGATTTCCAAAGTCAGGTTAGTGGACACAAGGCCTTGCCTGGCTTACTACTGTTTTTCGAAAGTCAGTAAGTTCAACATATCATTCAAGCATCTTTTTTTAAAAAAGATGTCAAACTTTGAGACCTTTTTTGTGATGTTAAATGTATTGTGAATTCATCTACAAGATAATTTTTGAGCAAATTATATTATGTTATCGTACGCCCAAAATTCGTCTACTTCAGATTTTACACCTTACTTTTAATTAACGATATTAAAGTACATGTTCCCCCTTAAATTTTTACAGTTTTATTATACTTTTTTTGGAAAAAGACCACGTAATTTAAATTTTTTTGTTGTTTTTGAGGGGGTTGTATTTTTTTTTTTTTTTTTTTTTTTCATTTTTCTTTTGCACAGCAATTTTCCAAATAATTGTATTTCTGAAAATCAAAGCTATATAAAAAGACTCACACTCGATTTTTTAAACAATCTGTGCGGGGGTTCAACATCTCGTATCTGTTTGCGTTAATAAAATATTGATAGAAGTTTAAAGTTTTGGCATGTGACTGGTATGAAGGACAGGTGTGAAGATCGCTGAATAGAAATAGTATAGTTTAGTGTAACATCAATGTTTGCAACGGCTTTAAAATCATCACAGATTAAAAAAGTTCAAACACTTTTAAAAAAGCTAGGGATTTTCTGGGATTTTATCATCTTGTTCCAGGCTAAATTTTAATGAATCTGTGAGGAAATTTTATCTTTAGATGAGAGCTCAAAGAAAAAAAAAACACTCATTCGATCCATGCATGTGAGAGTAGATAGATAACGACAGTAACGAGATATTTACAAACGCGTATCCTCTTATATAATTATAGCCTATTAAAAACTTTAGGAAAGTGATCAAAGCCCTCCTCGAATGTAGAAAAAGTGACAACGATATTATAAATCACATTTCCATAACAACCCGCAGTGCTGCTTTCAGTTACAGTGGCATTTAATTGATGTAATTACACATTTTTGAATGTGCATAATGTGTTCTGTCTAGACAAACTAAGGATTCAAGGCTATATAAACAAACGTGAGTTGTTGGATTTTTAGGGGTGGGGGATGTTTTGTTGTTTGTTGTTGTTGTTGTTTTTTTGTTATTGATTTTTAAAGTACTTTAAATTTTACTAGAATCTGTCAAATAACTATAGGCCCCTAATACGATTTTGTAAAGATTTTATAGATACATGCACAAATAAATGACTCACTATTGCGCTACAAAAATTTACACATACAGAGCCGTAGCCACATTGCTAAACGAGGCAGTGATTAACCTAGGTTAAAATTTGAGAAGTTAATAAATACATTTTAATAGGTAGAACAACCGATCTGGAAAATAAAATAATTAAGTTAAAGCAGAATAGACTCGATCATATATGAAGGATGCTAGATTAAATGGTCTAGCTTTGATTTCACTTGACTATAGTTATAAGCACATCAGATTCTCCAATTGCCTTAATTCGTCTGTTCATGAAATACATTCATGCTGTTGCAGCGGTGGCGGGGTGGTGGTGGTGAAAGGGGTTGTTGTAATTATTGCTCTTGATAAGTAGATGTATGTATCAAATACATTAAACATGTTGTCAGCATACACAAAGCATGCACTATCAAAGAAACTATTTGGATTATTGTCATCCCAGACACTTACTTGAAGCCCGCCCCCATCCCCAACTCCTGCGTTCCTTGAAATATTAAATATGCATTATGGTACCCGTACATTTTTTCCGCTGTATTTTTGTTATTCTCTTAGACTTATCAAATATACACAGCAGTATATTTTTGAACACATATAAACAACTTCTTTAAACATTCTAGTTATAATCAGCTATTTGTCACATCCACAGTATATAAACGATTTGTACCCCAACCGGATCTTGTGAGAATATCTCAACATCAGTTCCGTACAGACAGGCGGGGTGACCCACAAAACTTTTTAAGACGGTTTGTTTTTTAATTTCGGGTAACGGTTTTTAAACTTTTTAATAATTTATAAAAAAATAGGGTTTCTTGTTTATAGATACATCTTTTAACCACCCTTTTTTAAAATTTATGCGCATAAAAACGCTTGTCCCTTTCGTTCTTTTTTTTGTTTTTTTGCAACAACCCCTTTTAACAAGCAAATTTATGACTAAAATTTTTTTATTTCATTTATAACTCATATTGAATCTTAAACTTTTTCTTTTTTCCTCGTTTCCGACAGAAACCTGTTGAGAATATTTTTCCTTTGAATTAATTGTTTAAAAAACAAAAGTAAATAATAGAGGAAAAAATTTTTTAAAACTGTACCCGGGTTTGCTAAAAATTTTTAAATTTTGGAACCCTTCCCCTACTTGGTTTTTATTTTAAAACCATCCCCTTCCCGCTTTCACCCCACTTGTTTTTTATTTTTTTGCCCTTTATTTTTTCCAAAGGGAAATATCTTGGGGGAAAAAAAAGGGAATTTTTAAATTTTGTTTTTTTTTTCCCAAAACAAGGGGAAAACCCATAAACAAATTTTTTTTTTTTTTTTGGGGGTTCCCTTTTATAAAGTAACCCAATTTTACTGCCATAAATTTTGGAAACCTTCATCATTTTTTTCACTTTCCTTTGGCTACCAATAAAAGAAGCGGGTTTAATACCGAATTAGGAAAAAAAATTATTTTCTTAAATAAATTGTATAACCAAAAAAATTTCTTATTTAAATTTTTTTTCATTCATTTTTCTTTTGAAAAGTTTATAAAGCTAAGATAAAACTAAGTACTTAAACGTTTCTCTTTAAGTTCAAGGGCCCCTTTGGGGTCATATAAAATCCATCCCCCTTCGAAAAAAACCAGGTTTTATTTTTGGCAGATTATTTTACTATTTTTCAAAAAAGCTTTACCCCTTCCGTTATTTTAAATTTTTGTTTTTTAAAAACAAGGGGTTTCATTTTTCTCATAAAGGGCCTTGATTTTTTTTTTCTGACATGACGACTAGGACACTCTTAATAATCTTTTTAAGGAATTTTCCCTTGAATTTTGGTTGTTTGAACGTTTTAAAAGGTTTTTTTTACCCTTTCAATTTTATTTTCCACTTATTTTTAAATATTTTGCCAGGTCTAAAAATTTAACTTATTTTGTTTTTTTTTTCACACAACTTAAAAAAATTTATCATTGGCTTCATAAGTTTTTAAGTCAAAAAAATATATATAAATCCAGTTTTTTCTATAAATTGCATTACATGTAATTTTTAGGAAAGGATTTTGGAAAAATTTATTTTTTAGTTGAGGGTCTTGACGTAGCTTTCGTTTTAAAAAAAACTCCCCTTTAAAACACAACATTTAAAAGGGGATTGGGAATTTAAATTAACGTTTAAAAATTTTAAATCTTCCCTATCTGTTTCTACAAAAACGTTCGTATTTTTCGATTTTGTGCACTTCAAAAAAGGCGTTTTTGGTTTTTTTTACATTTTCTTGATTGGAGATTAAAAATTTTTAAATCCCTTTTGTCTTTTAAAATTTTTTATTTTTTGTAAAATCATGGCTTTTAAAGTTTCCCTTTTTCTTTTTTTCAGTTTTTTGTAATTTTTATTTAAATATTTTTATTTTGATTTTTAATTTTTTTTTTTATTGTTGTCAAACCCGAGAAATGTTTTATAAGGGAAGCTTTTTTTTCTTGTGCCAAATTATGAACAAATGTTTTCCCATTTTTTTTTTGAAAAGGGAAAAGGGGGAATAAGGGCAACCTTTAAAATTTTTCATTTTGCCCGTCAATAAACAAAAAAAATACATTTTAAAAATTAACGTTCTTCCATTAAAAACTTTAACAATACTCAAAAGTAGGGTAAGATAAAAATTTGTAAAATTTCCCAAAATAGGGCCAAAAAACCAGAAAATAACGTTCAGTTTACGGAATTGACCTCTTTTGGGTTTAAAATCTTAATTTAAAAAGTTTCCCAAAAAACAGCAATATTTTTTGCAGGGGACTAAATTATTTTTGTTATTGATTATTTTGTAGTTCGAAAATTTAACAATTCAATGTTTAAATAAACTAAACCCTATGAAATAAGACGGATTTTTGTAGTTTTTCAGTGTTGATCACCCCCCCGAAAGCAGTTTCGTGGTTTCGAATATTATTTTTATAGGCTTTAATACTAACAATTTATATTTTGCATAACTTAAAACGCTTATAAAATTTCTCTTCTACGATAAAATAAGATTTTTACTAACCTAACGTCCATTAAATATAAATATAAATAACCAATATATTAAACAAGTTAAGCGTCAGAAAATGCTGACAACTGACATTCTTCTCACAAGATCGGTTGGGGGTTCAAATCGTTTTTACTTGTGACATCATGTATTATATTTTTTTGATGATATCGGTTTTTTTTTTCTTTTTTTTTTTTTTTTTTTTTTTTTTTTTGGTTTTGTTTTCTTTGCTGTGTGTGTGTGTGGGATGCGGTGTGGCGTTTTTAAATAAATAATTTTGACTGGAAGTTTTTTCAGGAACATTTCAAGTATGCCGACTAAATACATGACCTGGTGTTAAAGATAAAGATAACTAGGTTTGAGTGACTTGGGGGGGATGTGGTTGGAGGAAAACAAAGGAACTGTTAATTCACATTAGACTGGCTGCTAGTAACAGCTGGGAGATCGTGAAGATGTTGCGAGAATATTGTTGTTTAGGTAACATAGGTGCCGCAAGAGCTCTATTGTTAAAACACTTATTAAAGCACTATCTGGAAAGTAACATACCAAAGCTAAAGTCGGACAAGGTTCAATCACAGTCTAACACGTTTTTTTGGGAGAGGTATTAATAATTACTAATATTTTTTGTTTTTTGTTTGATGTAGCGATTGTATCCGTTCTTGCTTTGAATACATGTATATTGTAGTAACACTCGATTTAAGTCGAATTTATTCTACTGCGAAATAGTAGTGTTGACCACCTGGGTGAAGGCTGGTATGTCGGATCATACAGTGTAGAGATTTATGAATTAGTACACTGGGGTTACTGAAGGTAGCAGGGAGGCGTATTTGGTTGATTGTAAAATTGATTGCAAATGAACTTGGTGTATATTTATTAACTTTTTTCAGGGGAACTGAAATTATTTCATTCAGACTATAATTATACAGAGTTTTTTTTATTAAACTTCAAGTATAGAATTGACGAAAAAACAGATATTTATTATGTAACTTTGGTTTATCTATAAGATCAAAATCTGAATACTTAACAAAATACAACTTATTTTTATTTCATGATGTTCTTTAGGTATGTAAGTTGTGGTGTAATGAAGAAATATAGATGGGAGTGAAACCAGAAAGACAATACTATACACTGCGCAGTCTTTGGTTGGCTTTGCTACCATATTGATGTGTGGCGGGGAAAAAGTAATACAGACAGCGCGGAGTTAGAGGAGATTCTAGAACTTCTAATAAGGTGAGGGTATTGAATACTTGAATCTAACATTGAGTATTGGACAGGGTACTTGTACTGATATTGAGTTAAGTATGTTCTAATCATGACGCGTTGTTGAAAAAATTTATATTTTTATATTAACAATCGTCACTGGCTTTAATATTATGCCGAGTTTACCCCTTAAAGCATAATTTAATCTTTTAAACTCCTCTGTAACCAAAGAATAACTATTATTTTGAGTTGATGGCAAAAACAAGAGCGAACTGGTATATCACAAAACACTGGCAACGTTACCTGTAAATATGAAATTATAGACAGTGGGCTTTGTCACCAAACATTATATTGTTTCATTAGCATTTTGTCATAAATGTAGACTATGTAAGTACTTGTGTATTTTAATTAAATCCCTTAGCTGCTATGACCGGAAGAAGTAAACAACATTTGCCTCAAGTATAGAGCAAGACCGATCGCTCACGTCCATGCGGTTTTCAGACAAAGCTAGATATACTGTTGTTCTTAAGGTGCAGTCAGACAAAGTTTTATACTGTTTGGTTTATTTTAAGGTGCAGTCAGACCAAAGCCTCTATACTGTTGGTTATTTTTAAGGTGTGGTCGACCAAGGTCAATTACTGTTGGTTAATTAAGGTGGGTCAGACCAAGCTTCTACACATGTTGAGTTATTAAGGTATGCGGTAAGGCAAGCTCTATACTGTTGGTTATTAAAGGTGTGAGTCAGACCAAGCTCGCACTGTTGGTTATATTAAGGTGCTGTTTCCAGGCCAAGCTCTTACACTGTTGGGTTATTAAGCAGTGCGGCTCAGGCCAAACTCTTATTTACTGTTGGTTCATTAAGGCTGCTGGCAACGGGGACCAAGCCCCATATCACTGTTGCGTATTAAAGTGTGGCTCAGGGACAACGCTCTTAACTGTTGGCTATTAAACGCTCGCGGTCAGGCCCAAGCTCTTATTACTGTGATTAATTAGGGTTTGTGGGGTTTCAAGACGCAAGCTCTATTACTGTGGTTGATTAGGTGTGGTCAGACCAAGCTCTTAACTGTTGGCTATTAAGGTCGGTCAGGCCAAGCTCTATACTGTTGATTACTTAAGTAGCGGTCAGGCTAAGCTCTATACTTGTTGGTTTATTAAGGTGTTGGTAAGACCAAGCTCTATACTGTTGGTAATTAAGGGTGCTGTGGTTCAGACAACTCTTAACTGTTGGCTTTAAGGTGTTGATCAGATCAAAAGCTCTATACTGTTGCTATTAAGGTGCTGTCTGACTTAGCTCTATACTAGTTTGGTTTTTAGGTGTTGGTCAGACCAAGCTCTCATATAACTGTTGATTATTAAGGTAGTTGGTCAGACCATGCTCTATACATTGTTTGTTATTAAGGTTGTGATCAGATCAAGCTTCTAAACTGTTGGTATATTTAGGTTTTGGTCAGACCGAAGCTCTATACTGTATGGTTATTAAGATGCGGTCAGACCAAGCTCTACACTGTTTGTTTTTTAAGGTAGCGGTCGAGGCCAAGCTCTATACTGTTGGTTATTTAGGTTTGGTCAGACCAAGCTCTTTAAATGTTGGTTATTTCAAGATGCGGTCAGACCAAGCTCTACACTGTTTGTTTTTAAGGTGCAGTCAGGCCAAGCTCAGCTCTATACCGTTGGTTATTAAGGTGTGGTCAACCAAGCTCTATACTTTGGTTAAATTAAGGTACGGTCAGGGACAACCGCTATTACCGTTGGTTTTAAAGTGCGATCTGAAAGCTTTATGCTGTTGGTTTATTAAGATGGCGGTCCTGACCAAACTCTATACTGTTAGTTATTTAAGGTCATTGTGGTCAGACCAAAGCTCTATACTGTTGGTGTGATTGAGGTGGTATTTTGTATGGTATTTTAATTGTTATTTGAAATCCTCTCAAAATGTCATTGCAGCGTGAAACCAGTACATATTTTAACATGTTATGGGCTTATCTTTAATATATCAATTAAATCAGGGCATGTTCAACCTGGTACCAGCATTTGAAGCATTGACAAAATTACAAGAAGAACATAAAGTTGGCATTTTAAAGAAACCATATTAAAGAAAACAGAGAGGAATGGAGGATGAACAAGATTCGTAATTTGTTCACAAGCTGCCGAGAGAAGAAAAGTTCCCCGGATTAAATTAATTGATTGCCTTTACGAATACTGCGGAAGACTGATCCTAGAACAGCGATGCCTAAATGTAAGTTATTATGAATTTACTTAGTAATATTTTTTTACAAAATATACATTTATAGTGTACGATTTTTGTTTCTCGGGAAGGGAAATGGCCCTCTTTATTTTATTTCAAAACCTCTTTTGTCTCTGTTTCTTGTAAATATAAGTTTCGGATTGAGAAAAATCTAACTACAAGATGACCGTCATGGTCCTCGATCGCTCACTTGAGATACAACGCTAGGAATGTTTGTTAATCTATAATAAACAGCAATTAACTCAGATCACGCTTTATTTTGTTCCATCAAAAACACACATGCAGAAAAACTCCTACAAGAAGAGTATTCCAATTACCTCCCTTGATCAAATATCGAAATAAGGTATACAGAGTTGTTTCCCTTAAACAACATGAAGTACAAATATTAACATTAATTATACTCAGTTTTTTTAGTGACAGAGATATAGTTTATAAGCATCAATCATAGATCTTGCAGACAAAATACATGATCAAACAAAAATAATAATTACAACAAAATTGGAAAAAAATAAGACCATCCTTGGATTAGACTGTCCTCAGGTCTTAGGGGATTATTCTGCCCCAACATATAAAAAGGGGATTATTCTGCCCCAACATATAAAAAGAAAAAAAAACAACAAAAAGAAACAACAAATGTTCCTTAATTATACAGTTAAAGTCCTGAAACTCTCAATATGTTTCTAAGATAAAACCCTTGTTACACAAACTCTTCTGGCATCTTTCCTTTCTGTAGTATATTCAACAGTTCTATTCCAGACGCGCCATTCTTGGTTAGTGAGTTGGCTAACTGTACTTTACCTGGACAGCACTTCACAAATATATTATTATTTCTCTTCATTTCACAAATTCCAGCAATATCAATCCTTAAATCGTCAACCATCTTGGTAGATGAAATAGCCTCAATTACACTCCTCTTGTCAATTAAGGCTGTGATGGGTAAACGTTGTTTTAATGAACAAATCTCTGTTACATTTCACGATAATAAATTGCTGATTTCAGACCTTCAATCAAACTTAAAGCCTCAGCTGCAATGGTAGATCTGACAACTCTCTTGATTGTCTTTGACTGCCAAAATATTGGACAACAATTTCCCTTTCTGTCCTTAATCCATATAATATGAGCACCTACACTACCTTCTCCATTGTTTAAATTGCCTATAGCAGCATCACAAAATACAAATATTTCCCAGTCATCAGATATATTTCCAAGTAAACCTGGGAACAGAAGTTTGGGTCTTATATCCTTATGCTTTCCAATCACTTTAATAGCTTGTCTAAGGTCACTTGATGCTTCTTTAAGTTTAGTACTCAAATTGATTAGATGAAATCCTAAATCTGGTCTTGAACCTTGAACTGCCCAGTTGATTTTTCCTACAATACTTCTAAACAAAGTCTGTTCGGTATCGTTAAGTCGCTCTGTTTTCCTATTAACGCGACAAGGATCTATACTGGAATGTTCTAGTTTTTTCATGTAAGCAGAATGATCGATACAAATACCATTATCATTTTGCTTTATCTGAAACCCAATGTAATCAAAGTTTTCGCTTCCAACTTTTCCGTCCACAAAATTTGTCCTTAAACTAACCATAATTTTTTCAAACTCCTCATTTCAAGCGTGGGGAAAGTCATCAACATGACAGCATATCATTCCAATAACTAATTTTTCTTTCATCAATGTAAAGACTGCTGGATCTATTTTTGATTGTATACACCCCAACTTTAAAAGTTCTTCCTTCAAACATGCATAAAATTGTCTGGCACCATCCTTTAATCCGTACAACCATGTTTCAGTTTCCAAATAAAACCATCTTGTGTATTACTTTCTTTTGGTCGTCTTATATATACATCCCGTTCAAGTTGTTTCCCCTGAAGAAATGCTGATTTTATATCAGTAGTTTTGACCTTCCAATTTTTGCTTGCGGCAATTGACAGAAATATTCTTAACGCACCTTTGCCCACAGTTGGACTGTCTTTAGGAATAAACACTTTTTCTTCAAAACCACGAGCAACTAATCTTGCTTTAGTTTTACCATCTTTAGTGGTCATTACCCATCTTGTTGATATAGGCTGAAAAAGGCCGTTATCTTTTATTTCTTCATATGTTTCAAATTCCTTCAATTTTTCCAATTGTTCTAGTTTGGCTGCTACAATTTCTTCTGTTTCACTTTCAAACAAATAGACGTCTTCTGTCTCTTTCATTTTCCATTCTACAGCATCAAGATCAACACTTTTCTGTTCATTGTCAATATCATGTTGGACATTATACCAACTTTGATATTTGCCTTTGTCTTTACCTGCTCTACTAAGAATCGAAGCTGATATCCATTCTTCTTCATTTGGTAATCTGTACTCAATCTGATCTTTAATTTTTACATTTTTTACAGTTTCTGTCTCGGCTGTAGCTCTTTCTTCAACAAATTCATTTTGTTTTCGACTGTTAATTATTTCGGTTACATTTGGAGCACAGTTTTTCTGGTTATCACCTTCAAGCAAGTTAGAGTCAATATTGTTCTCTTTTATATTGTCATCTTCATTCTTAGATTCAATATTGTCCTCGTTCACACTACGATCAGCTTCATTCTTTGATTCATCATTGTATATCTAATTAATTTGCACAGTCTGTTTGGCAATACTCTAACAAATATACCACCATGCCGTACAAATACTACTTTACCATCTTGAAAGACCACCTTCCCTGGCCCTAACCAGCGCTCTTTCCCCTCTCTTTTGTAAAAGACTGAATCACCATTTTCAAATATCTGCTCAGCAGCTCTGATCTTAGTTCTAAGCGCTCTCCTTATCCGCTCGTCTGCTTCAGTCTGGATAAATGCTCGTCTGCTTGCATGCAACGCATTCAAATGTTTAGCAAAAACTTCACTTGTGGTGCAACCGTCCAAAGCAGGAAAATTATCATTCATGATATTTGGCAAATTGGGATTTCTTCCGAATACCAACTGATGGCTGCTGAAGCCGTTGAACATTTGAAGTTTTTAGCCATATTTGCCCACGACAAAAGTGTTCCTAATTCAACATCAGGATGTTCTGCTTCAAGTTTAACTAACATCATATCGGTCACAGAATGTACTCGTTCACAAAGCCCATTTTGAAATTGACTCATTGCGGCTGTTGTACAAACTTTAATATTTAAGATTGATGCTACTTCTCGCACTTCATCGGAACTGAATTCTCCACCATTGTCAGTGAACAGTTCTCTCATTACACCAAATACGCCAATCCAATTTTTCATCATAGGTTCGTTCACATCGCTCGGTCTCTTTCGCGCAATAAAAACAGACACATCAAAACCTGACCACATATCAATCACATGGAGAATATAACGGCCTTTATACATTTTCAAATCCATTGCTACCTTCTCATTAAACTCTTTTGCCAGTGGCATTAATACCACAGGTTTTGGTGGTGTTCTAGCATACAACTTACATAGTTCACATTTAGACTCAATTTCAGATAAGTCTGCATCATAATCTTCATTCCACACATTAGCATCTTTCAGTAAAGCAACGAGGCGCAGTTTTGGCGGGTGAGCGAATTGTCTGTGAAGTTTCAACAAAGTCGATTTCCTCTAACTTACATCCATATTTTCTAACTTTACAGCATTTACTTCCGTTATGTTGACAGTCTCCGTTTTGTCGACAGGAATACAATAGTGCCCAGAAGACGTAACATTCAGCGAAACTTCTTTTCCAAAGATAACTGCAGTGTCATTTTCTAAGTCCATTCTTACTCCTGCTTTCTTCATAGTCGTTCTTGATAAGAGAAATAGTATATCTGAATCAACAACATCAGTTTTCAGAACAACTTCTTTTCCAGCCATACAAACTGGTAAATGATATTCTCCACCGGATTTCAACTTAGTTCCTCCTCCAAACTTGAACACCTTTTGACCTTCAACATTTACAACTTTAGCACGATCTGTATCACTCATTGAATGAAGGTATGTTTCTAACCACAGTTTCCCACACACAGTACTACTACATGCTCTGTCTAAGACAGCACAATTCCTAGCATCAGTCCCTAATTGTTTAATATCTTGCTTATGATATCCTGTGAATAACACCGCATGTTCCTCTTCTTCGGCAATATTCACTTTCGCTGAATTTCCCATGTTCTCCCAGCTATCAGGGCATTTTGCTACAAGATGTCTATACGATCCACAAGATCTACATGTTAAAATTCTCCCATCAGCACCAGTTGGATTAAAATTTTTAACACCACGCTGTGACGATGAAAATCCACGTCCCCTAAAGTTACGCCCGCCTCTTCTTCCATTGAAATTTCCACGCTTTACAAATCCAGCAGCTAATAAAGCTTCCTCATTTTCAGCAAAAAACGCTGGCTCTAGTTTAATAACAGTATTACTATTAGTACTATTACCACATGCTTCGCCCTTGAACTTCTTTAAAGAACTTTTCGCTTCTTCATACAAAGTCTCTCTGTTTTCATAGTTCATTCCCGTTAAAACCAGTAACTTTTCTTCTTTTGAAATATTGGCTTTTTTCAGTAATTTAAAAGCAATAATCTCTGACGGTAGTTTCATGTTTTTCTTCTCAATTTTCCTGTAACGCGAATCAAACTCACCGATATAATCTTGAATGGACTGTTTTTCATTTCTTGTATAGTCTTCAAATTCTTCAAAATTTTCAAGGCTATCGGCCAAATCGTCTTTAGCAAGGTGTTTATCGAGAAAGTCAATCAAAATTTTCAAACCGGTCTCTTTTTTCAAATCTTCAAGTGGAATTTGGTCGAACACTTTTTCCCTTATTCTACTTTCACTTTCCTTTGGCAATGTCAAAGCAATTGCTACACCTCTTTTAGCTTTGTCCAACTCCGTTATTTCATTCCATGTTAAAAGTTCCTGTTTGTATAATTCATAAGATTTGGAACTGACAAAATGTGTTTAATAATGTTTTAATAAAGATTGAGGGCATATAAGATGTTTAAAGCGCTGAACATGCAGTAATTTATCGTTAAGTTATCTAAATGTTAACAATTTAGTATCTTGATTTCCATAAAAAAAAACTAATTCAATATAATTATTACAAATGCGACAATTAGTTCATCTGTATGACAAATGAGTATTTTTAGTTTTTGGAAACGGGAACGAGAAACAAAAGATAAAAATGTTTTGAGAATTAAAAAATTATAACATTTCTGAGGCATAATGGACCTTTCTAGACTGTTACATTTATACTTAAGATTTTTAATTGTTTCATCGATTTATACAGAGACAATAATTCTAATGTTATGATCAACTTGGGTGTACTTGGGTGAACTTTTTTATCAGTAATATGTTTTGTATATTTAAGATTCTGCATACGTCTATGTAGTCCTCACCAAGTATGATCTGGTTAAAGATGAAAACAGTTTTAAATGGTCTTCTAATGAACCAAAGGTTACTTTCGAGGAGTTCCGAGAAATTGAGAAGGAAATTGAACAGAGGTTTAGTATCGAAGGTTCGCTAGAAGATAACAGAACAAGATGGGTGAGTTATACCGATGCAACAGGTAAAGACAACCCATATATTGACAACATCGCATTGAAGTTTATTAAACGAATGCTTATGGTGAGAAACGATAAAGTCAAGTCCGTTAAAACGGTGATGTCAACGTGGACACTGATGAACTTGAACATGAAAAGGTATTGGCAAAATGCCAAACGCAGCTTAGAAGAACGTCAGTTTACAATCAGCTTAGGGACATTGGCAATGGGCATTGTATTTGGAATATTTGCATTGGCAATGTTGTGTAAAGTATACATCATGTTAAAAGCACCACCTTCGGGACACTCCAGAGACAGAGAATACTACTAATAAAATCTCCTGTTATTGTAAAGTACCAGCAGTACCAATAGTTAATGACATTAATATAGATTTATTCAAGTAAATTCCAGAAGGGACAATATATTTACAAGTAATTAACATATTAACATAAAATGAATACATGTATAAAGAAATCAGCAGTTAAGTACATGATAGATATTTAATATTATTATCTGCTACAATTCATCCGAAGTAAATGTTAGCATAAAAATATTCTATTTCTATATAAAATCAATGCACATTATTATAAATTTACTTAATGTGATAATTGTATATATTCACTAGCACAAATAGAATAGTAGTACAATGTGTGATCGTCATATCTAAGTATAATTTCGGTTACTAACAGATGAGCTTGTCAAAATATAATAATTAAAGATCCTGTAACACAATTCTTTTTTATGGTTTTAGATCATAAATATAATGCTCAAATTAAGATTTACCAATATTATAGGTTACAAAAAGCATTATTTATTAAGATATTATCGAATTTAACATTTCATGTAAATTATTTTACTCACAACATACAGGATTTTTAAGAGGTCTCTATAAAATCAATCCATAGATCCTAGTTAGCTCTATCTTGACGTTCGAAAGTTTCAAGATAAAGTGTGAAAGATCCATAGAAAACATATTACAAAAGTATACTCAATATCAACAATTTAAAAATGATTTATGTGAAGGAAAATGAAGTCTTGTTACAAAAACGAAACACAAGACTTCTGATAACAAATATGATGATCGTTTACTACAAAACGGTTTAATAAAAGTCCAAGTTGAATTCTTTACTGATATTTATAAAGTTTTACTGTTACCTATGATTTAGGAATTATATCAAAATGCAAACAAACTAATACTGTGATCTGTAATTTTGTATTATGAAATGATCGTGAAACAAGAACAAGAACACAACTAACAATCCATTAGAACATTAAAAAGCTGATGATATGTTTAATAGTAAAATCATAATGGTTGCTTTAAAAACAAGAGGGCCATGATGGCCCTGAGATCGCTCACCTGTATATATTGCCCCGCCCCCGGGCAGGGCCACTTTTAACCCAGGGGCTTTTATTTGAATAAACTTGAAAGACACCCATTAGAAGATGCTTTGTGATAAATATCTAAGCTCTAGCTCTTAGCGGTTTTGACCAGATGTTTTATACACAGATAGGGAAAAACAATGACCACCCCAGCCCCGGCCGTGCCAATTTTGACCCCTGGGCTTTTACTTGAACAAACTTGGTAGACATTCACTAGAAAATGTTCATGCTTAGTATCTTAACCCTAGCTCTTTGTTTTTTTTAAGAAGATTTTTTAAGTTTTTACTATATACATACACGGCAAATCAAAGTTACCCTTCCTTAATTTCCTCATGCATAGTTACCGTTTGGAGTTACCATTCCTTTTTTTTTACACAGAGTAACCGTTCATTTTATTTCTCATAAAGGAATACCGTTCCATACAAATGAAGCAGAGCTACCACACTGTAATACCAACAAAAAAGGAAAAGATAAAATGAAACTCTATGGATTTAATTTGAGTACAAAATGTCAACCTTCTTTTTTTATAATTTATTTTTTTCTCTGTGATCATACAGTAATAAAGTGTACATAACATATAATAAACTCCTGTCCAGATAATACAAAAGTATGGTCACAAAGAGTTTTTGTGTTTTTTTTTTCACACACAAACACAAGCACACGCACGCACATACATCCGCACCCATACACCCACATTTCCAGTTCATAAATACCAACAGGATTTAAAACTATACATAGTTCGAACATAACGCACACACAAAAAAAGCACACATACATTTCGGGTACCATCAGCAATCAGATACTCGTATTAGTGTAAGCTAGTATTTAAACAAAAACAAAAGGGAAAGTGAAGAGGGTGAAAATTAAATACAATAAAAAAACAAGAAAAAAAACAAAAGATACATCTACAGTTTTTGACTGCTTTTAAACATAATTGTTTTATATTTCATGTAAGTAAAACATTTTCATATGTTGTATATTCGTATCTTGGAAAATTCTATTCCACTTTTTAAAACGAATGTCCAGTTTATCGCGATTAAATGCAATACATTTTTCAAAACATAGTCTGCTCCGAAAATAATGTAAAAACAAGTTAAATTGTGGTGTGCGTTTTCCTATTTTGCAACTATATATGTAATATCTTGCAACCAAAGATTATAGTTTTTTGCCTGTGTTTGTAATTAAGTCAGATATTGTTTTCAAGTTAATTTCTATACTAATATTATTTTCGTTGAAATATTCTATTAAATCCCTCCAAAAAATGTTGCGTGTAAGAACATTGCTAAAAAGAGGTGTTCAATAGACTCAATATCCATTGCACAAAAACACAAAGACTCGAGGAAGAAAGGTTTTGTTGTAGGAGACTTTTGTAATCGAATTTGCTGTTAATTAAGAAGCATACGCCAAAACTATTATTCGTATTTCCACTGAAAAAAGCCCGTCCATCCCAATCTGATGTCCATTTAAGATATCGCTTTGTGTTTAAATGCGTTTCTTGTAAAAGACATGTATCATACTTTTGCCAATTAAAAACTTGCTTTCTTTTCATATAATTTCCCAAATATTTTGCATTAAAAGTACAAATTTTCATACTCATTTCAATTCAATATGAAGCTTACATTCAAAAACAGTAGATGATCTTATATAAACAAGAGGGCCATGATGGCCCTAGATCGCTCACCTGGCCCATCAAACTCATCCAAACAATTACATAGACAAGCATTCTGACCAAGTCTCATGACAGGTGAGTCAAAAATGTGACCACTACAGTGTTAACAAGGGGCGCGTTCCATTCTACCATTCCGGACACGTTCTTCATGTTCTGTCCAGGATGTGTGATTGGAATGAAATGGAACACGAAACTGTCCGGGACGTTTGAATGGAATGAAACAGAACGCGTAACACAAACAAAATGGCTGACAGTAATATAAACATTCCTTTGCTTATTTCCTTGCTGGAAGATTCTGGCGAAGAATCCGATGATATGGGTGAAGAAACGATGACAGTACTGATGGGAGCAGAATGTTCACTGTAAGACATTCATAGATTAGGTCTAAACACACTTTTTTCTGTTATTTCAAGTTGAGTTAAATGTCAAAATAATAAAGTTTGTTATGAATGCATGTTCTATGCGAGACACGTGGGAATTCCACGAAAAGAAAGATGTGTAAGCCACTTTTCAAAACTATACGCTTTATTACTTTTCTGAAAGAACTGCTTCCACTGCATATATATGGCTATGACACTGTCCTTACCTTCATTCTAAATGTTCTATTTCAGGCCACTGGAATTAAAGGCAAAGATTTTGGACTATACAGAATCAGTTGTACCATTTTATGACGACGAGAGCTTTCGCAGGAAGTTCAGGATGTCAAAAGGGACTTTCCATATTCTTAGTCAGTACCTAAAGGATCTTCCCGAGTTCAGTTATGATCATCCAGGAGGTAAAGAGCATGTGTCAGTTGAAAAACAGCTCCTGATGACACTGTGGTATCTAGGAAGTTGTGACACAATAGATAAAATTGGAGATCGATTTGGTATTTCTACGTCATCCGTTATTCGCTGCAGAAACAGAGTGTTAGCAGCAGTAAATAGGCACCTCAAGCAGCGTTTTATTGTATGGCCAAATGCACAAAAGATTCCTGAAGTTGTGGCAAGTTTGAACAGAGGAATGTTTTTTCCCGGAATAATTGGAGCCTTGCATGGATCTCACATTGAAATAAAGAAGCCAGCAGCACATGGAAATTCATATATCAACAGAAAAGGATTTGCTTCCCTGCAGGTACAAGCTGTTTGCACTGATAACATGATGTTTACTCACATCTTTACTGGCTATCCCGGCAGCTGTCATGATGCCAGGATCTTGAGAAACTCTGATTTGTGGCAAATTGGTCAAATTTTGTGTGGAGAAAATCACATCATTGCAGATGCTGCTTACCCCATCCGTAAATGGATCTTAACCCCATACAGAGACAACGGACACTTAAATGCTAGTCAAAGGAAGTTTAACAAATACCTGTCTTCATGTCGTGTTGTTATAGAACGTGCTTTTGCCTTACTTAAAGGCAGATTCAGGCGTATGAAGTACATTGATACATGTGTGAGGACTGCAGTTAGTATTATAATGTGCAGTTGCATTTTCCATAATATATGCATTGTAAACCACGATGCTATGAATGACTTTTTAGAAGATGCCAACATATCAAATCCTGTTTTAAATCCCATTTGTTTACAGGATAATGCTGAAGGAGTTCGCAAAGGGGACACTATAGCTGCTCACCTGATTTAATTCTAAGTAAAAATTATAATAAAACACAAAAAATGTCGTTTTCTTCATTGTTTTATTTGTAACATCTCAAACAAAAATAAGCATGAACAAGAAAAATAAATCCTTTAATCCCTTGGAATGTAGAGATCAGTTCTGACTAGTCCAAATGATAGCGAGATCAAATTTAAAGTAAGTTATAATACATAAGTTGAGCTTCAACACTGTTCCATCAGTTTATCCCCTGAAAGCTTGCATAAATATACACAAAATCAAAAGAAACTTTACAGTTATATAAAAGTCAGTGAATTGTGAAAGGATAGTAATATCAGTAATTTATGTACAAACTGAGAATTCAATAACATTTGCATTAACATCTGTAATTCCAATTGAATTGGTTTGGTATTAAGGTTACAAAAAATTGCGTGTAGGCAAACCACTAGATTTTTTGTTACATCTATAAATTTTGATAGCTGCCTGTTTAGTCATTTTTAATTTGTCTATGAAGATTTTAACAGCCAGTAAAAATCTGTATTGTAATAATAAGTATATACAAGTACAACTATAAAAAACATTACAATAGTAACACCACTGGCTCAGCTGGAGTTTTACTTAAGCAAATCTTTGCTTAAAAATAAAACAATTCAAACTATGTCTGAAGGTGTCAAACATTTTACAATGGTACAACCTCTTATCCTGCTGGCGCTATACCTAAGCATATCTTTACTAGAAAAGAAAACTACTAAAACTATGTCTGAAGAACAAAGTATATATAACTGTCAAACATTGAACTAAGTATATATAACTGTCAAATATTTTACAATAGTAAGTAAAATCACTTATTCTGCTGGCGCTTTACTTAAGCATATCTTTGCTAGAAAACAAAATAACTGGATGAATGCATACTTATATATGTATGGGGCACCGTTTTATTATTCAACCTATTTTAGTGAAATATCACCTATTCGAATAAGATATATCACTAAAATGGATAATATAGTAAAACGGTGCCCCATACATATGAAATACAAAGCATTCAGCTGCCAAAAATGTAACAATAGAACAACACAGTTAGCTTTAACATTGCACATTTTAGAAAATTTACACAAAACAATCCTCAAAAGCATAGCATGAATTATACCAAACTATTGAATCTTAAAACACAAGTAGCCTTTATCAGTTCTTGGGATGGCATTCACATTACATTGTATTTAACTGCTTGCAGTGAACAGCTAAGCATAACATTTATACTAACTATTACATGCAATTTTGCATCAGTAATCTACTGAAGAAGATATATGCAAATTTTGGTCTGTGCAAAACGTTTTGACTAAGAGCATCTAAAACCTGATGACCAAAGGAAACATGACCATAATAGATGTCAAGTATTTTGCCTAAATTTTCATCACAGCCAGAACAAACTGGCAATGAAACTGTCTCCAGCCTTGGAAAAGAATCTATGACTAGCCTAAGTGTTGTAGGGGCAACTGACAAGTGAGAGGAAACAACTTCAAGATATTCTAAATATGGACATTTTTTACAAATGCATTCAATATCTTCATCTTTAAAATACGGACCAACCAATTTCAAATTCTTCAATGCTTTAAAGTGTTCCAAGTTTTCAATTATAGCTGAGCGACAGACATTGCCTGTTGATATACAACTGTCAAGTGTATCAAATTTGAACAAAGAAATAAGAAACTCAACTGTTCTAAACAAAGCTGAGATTCTGCAAGTGTCACAGAATTCAGCCCACTTGCAATGACTTCAGCAAATCTTGTACAAACAAATCTTGAAGAGTTAAATAATTCATATTGATTGACATTATCCAGTAAGATCTTGGCAAGTATTTCATCTGGCATATCCAGTAAAGACAGGTTTCCTTCACCTGAAAATACAGTACATATTTTTTTATACAAGTGGGCCATGATGGACATGAATTGCTCACCTGTGTCACTTTTTCATTTCAGGTAAAAATATGGCGTCTAAAATGGTAGTAATGTTTCTATCAGTTAACCTGTGACTTTCTTTTTTACCCCTGGTGACCAATATTTTAATCTGACCTAGATTTCTTTGACATAGCTTTATCTGACAATGGCTCAAGTGTGAGTCAAATAATTTTGTATTAAAACAGACAAAGAAATGTATCAAAACATTAAAAAGTTGCAATAGGAACAAAATCCTAAAGTAATACACAAGAATATACTCCTTATTTAATTTTGGACACTGCATCTATTAATTTGATATAAGTGCTAATCGCTCCTGATGCATTCTTTCTTTCCTAGCAACTTCATCTTTATGACGTTCTTCTTGGGCTTCTATGTAAGTCTTTATAACATCTACCATTTCACCTGAGGCTGACTTACGCTTTTTCTTTACTTGTACTTGTTCTTCTCCATTTTCTTCTGGAACATCCGAGGAATTACAACCTGATCCTGAACCATTATCACTATGACTGCTTAATGTCATTACTGGAGTGACTATCGGATCTTTGCCATAGTTATCATCAAGAACACTTTCATATTCATAACTTTTCTTTCCAGACCCACTGCTTCTATTGTGGTCTTTTACATTCTTATATCCTCTTTTGCAAAGTTTTCCAACGTCCTGCTACTTGGTCTGCATTAAACGAATGAGAGTGTCCAAACATGATTTTTTGAAATATCCTGGAAAACCCTCTTCTTGGTTGTAAATCCTTTATCTATATGCTCTTTTCTTTCTTTCATCTCACTGACCAGTAGGAGTGTGGCATCTTTACTCCAAGAAGCACTTGTATCTTACTTTTCACTGTCCTCTTATATGACATTTTCTTCTTCCATAATGTGTTGAATTTCAGGCTCATTATCTGCTGGCTCTGAAAATATGAATAAAGAGTTGTTCTTCCTTAACACACTTTTAACAGTATTTTAACCAATTCTGCCAACTAGAGCTATCACAGGACTTATTAATTTGCCCAAACAATAGAGCCTTGTCATAAAAGTAAGCTTATGTCAAAGTTGAACTGCAAATTAGGGTCATATGATGGTCAAGATCAACCTCAGTATAGTTGTGATCCTAGATTATCACAACTGCTAGTGTTGAACATTTTGAACATTTGTTCCAACTTGTTTTAAAATCACTTGATGTATGACAGAAATATAAATCCCACAAGATTTTCTAACTGTTAACCTTTGATCTCTTGGTGTGACTTTGCGCAAGATACACCTTTCTATTATGCTATAAAACATTGGAGACTACTGATTCAAAAACCCTTTGATGTATGACCTGTGACCTATAAGTTGGGGCATTGGACCTTGAAGGTATGGGATCTTTTAGGTCTTGCGCAAGACACACTGTCTCATCATGCATGACTTCTGTGCCAACTTATTTCAAAAATCCCTTGATGCATGACAGAGTTATGAGCCGGACAAGATTTTCTAATTGCTAACCTTTGACCTTTAAGTTTGACCTAGACCTTTGAGCTAGAGGTCTAGGTCTTACGCATGAAACAGTAAAATTTGAAATTCATTCTACACTAAACTGAAATACTCTGTATAAGTTTCTTAATATTCAAATAATACCTGGAAAATCATCTGGATTTGTCTTCCAAGTGTGGCTAATCAATTCATAGGCATGGTTGCCGCCTCATTGGATCTGGAACAAAAAATAAATATTGATTTAAATTAACAAAAAGGTACAATCCTTTGCCTTGTTACAAGCTTTCTGGTATTTGCTCTACACAACATTAAATTTAAAGGTTTATCTATTACTTACATATTAAACTTTAAAAAAGGTCAACACTTTACTTTTGAGAGCATCTTTGGAACTTTTATTACAAACACGGAATGTCTTTTAACTTTTTTGAGCGATGAACTTGTACACAACACACAACCCTTCATGGTGTATTAGAACTTTCGATTAAATATGCACACTCTGAGAACTCTCTCTCTGAGCCCTCTTTGATAGACAGTTTAGATAACACATGCAATGTAGCAACACCTCTGTGAATACTCTTGTAAAATAAATCTTAGAATAGAATGTTTATATTGAGTTTTCAATACAGTACAATGGCGACGAGGATTTAAAAAGAAAAAAAAGATTGGATAACATGATATTTGTTTGATTAAATTAAATAAGTGAACACCGGAAATTTACACATTTTGGAATTTAAAGTTTAAAACACTTTTCCTGGACTTTGTTACAACTTAGCTCTATCAATAATACTGATACAGTGACAGTATGGCAAAAGGATTGCCAGTTTTTCCAGCATTTGGTGTAAGTGAACCTGGTGTTGACACAAGATGGAGGAAATGGACAGGTCGATTCGAAATCTTAATAATTGGTATGGACATTAAAAACAAAAAAAAACGTCAAAGAGCCTTATTTCTACACTATGCAGGGGAAGAGTAAATGACATCTTCGACGTACTGCAGAATACAGAGGATGACTACGAAACAGCAAAGATAAAGCTAACAGAGTACTTTTGCCCCCAAGAAAAACACAGAATTTGAGATATATAAATTTAGACAGGCAAAACAGGAATCTAATGAAAACATTGATAGTTTTCACACACGTTTAAGACACTTAAGTATAAACTGTGAATTTTCGGAAACAGACAAAGAAATTAAGTCACAAATCATTCAAGGCTGCACCTCAACTCGACTGCGTCGCAAAGCACTACGCGATGACCTGACATTAGACAGTCTCATCAAAGAAATAAGGACACTAGAACTATCAGATCAACAAGCATCTGAAATTGAAGGTCAAGCAAAATATGACGTCGTTAATGCCATGAAATCACGACAAAGACAAAATCAAAAGGCGCAAAAAGAAAGACGCAGACACATCATTAAGGAATCAATAAGCAGATACTGTGGCTATGAATATCCATACAAATCAGGAAAATGCCCAGCCAGTGGAAAAACATGTACATTTTTGCTCGAAGAAAAAATCATTTTGAAGCAGTATGCTTGTCAAAGAAACGGGACAATAATTTCACAAACAAACTTAATGATACTTCACAAAGTGAAAGTGATAGTGACAAA